ATTATTAAATAATTAATTTTAATTTGATTAATTTGTTTTAAAGTAGCTTTCTCTTTTAAATTTTAAGGCAACAAAAGGTACCTAATTTTTATTTTAAAAAAATTCTATTTAATTCAATAATTTATCTTTTCTTTAAATTTCTAGAATAATCTGAATTTTTTTAATCCTTTTATTTTACTAATTAGGTTATTATTTAAATTGGCATGCCTTGATTAAGCATATCCTTTTATTTAATTTACGACTTTTTATGTGATGTTTGTGTATGTTTTATACTTCAATTACATTTATGTTGTTTACATGCTCAAACCAAGTATTTTCAAACTAATATCTCGACTTAATGTCAAACCCATTTTCATATACCATTGTAAGCCGATCGTTTTTTACGATCGCCATCGACCTTATAGCCTCCTCTTGGGCTTTGTACAACGATGCTTGCTACACACTTTACGTATAAAATTAAAATCTAATTCTTTTCCAAACTTGATCCAACATCAAGTATCTCAAAACAAGTGTAATTAATCATCAACTTTCATTAGCACTTAATCTTATCAAATCCTCCCATCCTTGTAAGCCGGGTGCTTTGACCTCGCCATCAACCTTACCCTATACCGTAGGGCCTCCTATCCTTTAATCCCACTTTGCTCTTTCCACACGTAAAATTCAAACCTTGATTCATATCAAGCAATTTTCTTTAAGTCAAACTAAAATACTTAATAACTATTTAAACACAATGTTAATATTAGATGAAAAAGCGAGAGTCCCAAGTCTTTGGGTCTCTCTCCCAATTGTTTGGGTCCGAGGAGTCTTTCTTAAGCCCGAGCAATTGTCTTCTAAAAAACCCTTCTAAAAACGATAAATTTATTCGAGCCTATTTTTCTAAACACTTAGATGAAAAAGGGAGTGTTCTAAGTCTTTGGTTCACTCTCCCGATTATTTAAAGTTCGAGGAGTCTTTCTTGAGCTTTGAGTAATCATCATCCAATTAATACACTCTAATCTTATTAAACATCTTTCATAATATTAGATGAGAAGAGGAGAGAGCTCCAAGTCTTTGGTTCACTCTCCCGATTACTTGAGGTCCGAGAAGTCTTTCTTAAGCTTCGAGTAATCCTCATCTGTTAAAATATTTTAACCACCTCCTATCTTTCAAGCGTCATTCAAACAATTCCTTTCGTGATGAAAAAGAAAGTGTTCCAAGTCTTTGGTTCGCTTTCTCGATTACTTGGGTCCGAGAAGTCTTTCTCAAGCTTCGAGTAATCGTCATCTGATTCACTCACTCGTATCCAATTCCATTAACACTTAGATGAAAAAGAGAGAGCTCCAAGTCTTTGGTTCGCTTTCCCGATTACTTGGGGACCGGGGAGTCTTTTTCGAGCTTCGAGTAATCGTCATCCGATTAACCCACTCGAACCACATCTTATCCTTTTGCAATTGAGGTTGAAAAAGAGAGAGTTCCAAGTCTTTGGTTCACTCTCCCGATTACTTGGGTCCGAGAAGTCTTTCTTAAGCTTCAGGTAATCGTCACCTCCAGCTAAACATCCAATACATCTAACCAATCTAATTCCTCGCCCCCGTGCGACCACAACCCTAAAACCTATTCAAATATATCCTCTCTTATAAACCAAATACTTAACCAATCAAACTCTACTCGCCCTCGTGCGATCTACAATTCAAACAACTCTTACCAAGAACATTGTTTAGTCCCTTCCTCCGCGCATAACAAACTAGTGCTTCAGCCTCCCCTAGCGAGCAGACAAGCCAATGTTTAGCAGTTAGAATGCAACCTAAACACTCGTTCGTCAAACACAAACCTTTTACCGTAGTTAGCCGAACTACGGCCGCTCTGATTCTTCATTCTCTTCTGAATGTAAGATACGTAGGCACAAGATTGCGATGATCTTGGCGAGCACCCTATCTTAGTAATCACCCCTTTTCCTATTAGCAAGCAAATCCCTTTAGAAGATACACAAATATAGCTAACTTCTCTCGCGAATTGATCAAGAGGTTCCCGTTGAGTACAACGGACGTAGAGGGTGCTAATACTTTCCCTCTATGTAATCGACTCCCGAACCTAGAATATTGGTTGCGATGACCATGTTCTTATCTCTTTAAAGGTTTTATCGATATTTTCCTATTCCATCCTTGGAGTGAATAAAGTTCGGTGGCGACTCTGTTTCGAACAGTATTTTTCCGCGGCCATCGCGAGGATCGTATTTTTCGAGGTACGACAAGAGTATAATTATTATTATCAATAAACTGCGAAATAACAAAAGTATCTACGTATAATTATTATTAATATTTTTTTATATATATTTGACATACCAAAAACAATAGAGTATAAGTAGTATAAAATAGAGTATAAGTAGTATAAGATTATATTTTTTCAGAATTGAAATTTACTATTAATTTAAACAATAGAGTATAAGTAGTATAAGTAGTAAAAACAATTGAAATTTACTATTAATTAAAACAATAGAGTATAAGTAGTATAAAATTATATTTTTTCAGAATATACGGAAACATCATCACGAGACAGTTTTTGCTTTTGAATACTGAAAACACTGTTACTAGTAACTTCTAGAGCAGTACTGCACACGGTCATTCAAACTCAACACTTCCTTTGAATTACTATTACTAATTACTGGTTATTTTCAAATTCTAATTGCTCCAAGCGTGAAAACAAACATATACTAAAATACGTTGGACAACACTAGCATTCATCAATCTCACAAATTCAACACCAAAAGAGAATCAATCTAAAAAAAATAAACAACCATAAATCACTATAAAAAAGTCACTTACTTGTTACTTGAAACGAAGGAGGTGACAAAATCGGTGAGGGAATGACGGAGGATGGAGGATTCGTCGTGGGCGGAGAAAGAACGGCGCACGCACGGATGGAGGAGGAAGGAACACGGCGCACGACGGTCGTGTGTGGGGCGGAGGCAGGAGGCGCTGTCGTGTGTGGGCCGAAGGGAGGACAACGTGGGTCGGAGGGGAACGACGACGATTGACGAAAGTGGGTCGTGGGGAGGAGGGTTTGAAAGAAAACGTGAAATGTGCAGGTTCTGTTGGAACGTAATCTTATTTTGAAATGTGCAGGACTTTTTAAATCAGTGGAATATGGAACCGATTTAAAATCTCAGGCCATAAAACTTTTTAAATCGGTAGAATAAGAAACCGATTTAAAAAGTCTTTCGTTTGATTATTTTTTAAATCGGTGGAATAGTAAAACCGATTTAAAAAGTCTTTCATTTAATTATTTTTTAAATCAGTGGAAAAGTAAAATCGATTTAAAAAGTCTTTCATTTAATTATTTTTTAAATCGGTGGAATAATAAAACCAATTTAAAAAGTCTTTCATTTATTAATTTTTTAAATCGGTGGATTAATAAACCGATTTAAAAAGTCTTTCTTTTGTTTAGTTTTTAAATCGGTGGATTAACAAACCGATTTAAAAAGCCCTTTTAATAAATTTTCAACTATTTACGATATTGCCACTGTGTTTATAATTTACAAACCCTCACTTTTTTACATCGGTGGAATAATTGGCCCGATGTAAAATCTCTAATAATTTTTTTTATATTATTTACGATACTGCCACCGTGTTTATAATTACACATTTTACATCGCTTCGAGTGAATACCCGATGTAAAATCATTTTTCTAAATGTCTTTTTTTCTAGTAGTGATAGTTCTTTTCTTCAATCATGTGTTTAGAACATCCATTACCAAAGTACAAATCTTCTATCGAGAAAACTTTAAGAGATGTGTGAGCTATGAGACATGTGACGATTTCATTGGACTTCAATACTTTCCTAGTTTGAATGTTCTTGCCTCCTTTTTCTGTTGAACCTTGTCTGATCATAAGAATGAGGGTATCCATACAACTTATATAGAAGGGTCTTATATGGCCATACATTCCACAATAGTGAACTCTCCACGATAATTTCTTGTTTCTTGTGTACTAAAGGTACATATGTCAAACAGGATGTTGGGACATATGGTCCATTATCTGTAGTTTAGTCTTATTCATAGGGGGTACAAACTCTTTAGTGAGAACTTTTGCTTTTTTGCTCATGGAGCTGAAGTCAAAACATATTCCCTTCGTATCATTAAACATCTTTTCAATTTCTAAGATTTTATCAAGAGTCTTAGAACCATTGTTCAACATATGCACATGCTTTGTAATATTATCAAGCTTGGATTTTAACAAGACAACTTCCTTTTCCAGACCGACAATGGTTGAGCCTAATTTCTCTTTTTTCAGATGTAGAGCATTTATAATTATTATTTTTTGTTTCTATACTATCAAGCAAGTTTCCTCCCACTAATTGTACAACAATTTGTATGTCTTAGCTAACTCTTCATTACTGATTTCTCCATCACTTAACTAACTAGTATGAAAATAGCCTATTTTACATATTTTATATAATATTTAACTTATTTTAATGTGATCTATAAAATTTTATAGACATTTTTGATAACTTAAATTTAACTTATTTAATTAAATAATTTGTTAAAAAAGATTAAAAGTTAAAACAAACTTCTTTATTAAATAAATTAGACCAAATCATAGTTAAATAAATCTTATCATAGACTTCTTTAAATGAATCTGATCTATTTCCATTTTTACTCTAAACCTCCTACTATATTTTTATTTTATGAAAACCTTTTTATCTTTTTATATATGTATTATTAATTTTATTACAAATTTCCCACGCTGTTTCTTACATTTGTTCAGTGTGTTTATTTTTTCTAATTTAAACATTTATAAATTAAAAAAAATCAAGAGTAAATTATTTAACATTTGAATTAATAAAATAAAATGAAATTAAAAGAAAGTGAAATTGAGTTGAAGGTTATGTCTGATTCAGTGCTGAAAAAACCCTGACACAGTGTTACTCTTGCAAAAGGTATGGTGAGCCATGGCAATTGATCGCAACATCAACCCTAACCGAGTCACCATCATCAAATTCTTCAAACACACTTCAGAATGATTCATGCTGGTGATCATGCAAGAGCAACATCAACCCCATCATCATCAGCAGAATCCTTCTGTACTGTTGCCACAACTCACCACCACCTCCCTTAGGTCACCATCGTCCACCTCCGCCGCCTCACAATCCCATCTTTCTTCGCCTATCCATATCGCTTCCCACCGCCAACCTCTACTACCGCAACTTCCGGCGCCGGTCGCGGCTGTTCTCCCGTCCGGGGAGGCGGTTTCGACGGCGCCGCCGAATTTGCAGTTGGCAAGGGTTCGTCTGTCCGACATTGCTCCATATGACGGTGCACCGGCGGGGCCTTATGTCAGGGCGATGGAAACACTGTGTTCGTCTCTGTTGAAGCACAACGCGGCGTTGATTGAATTAGGGAGTGAAGATACTGCTCTGATGCGATGTGGATTGGAAGGTGCTAGATTGTTCTTCAGAAGTAGAGCACATCTCGGTGTTGGAAAGGGAAGTCGCGGGGTTTACATGTATAGAGCAGGAAGGTATATTGTAGTATAAATAAATAAGTTATTCTTAATCATTCAGTCATAGAGCTTGTTTGGATGAACTTATTTGAGATTAAACATTTGTGAGACTAATTGAGAGAATTTATGAAAACAATTTGACTTTGTTTTATCTTTTGTTATAGAAATTGTTTATACAAAAGCACTTTTATGATAAATACTTATGCTACAAGCATTTAATTAAGGTGTTTATCGAAACAGAGCCGTAATCTTTCATGGAAATTGTTTATTACTTCTTGTTTGTTGCTTTGAGATGGATGGTTGTTGAGTTGTTTTTATAGCAACTTATGTTTTTTCTCTCCCTTTCTTTCAGGGCTTTGGAGGATTGGGATTCATCTCCTCCTTGCATGGCTGATATTTTTAGGTGCATGGGAAAGGCTTCTCGTGTTGCTTTGTCAGTCATTGCAAGGCATCTGCGATTGAGAAGCGAGTATGGATTGAGATTCATTATTCAATTTGTGAATTTTTTAACTGTGTATGCTCACAGAAAGAAGTTAATTTTGTGCAGTGTTTTTAACCAACTGCTTGATGATGCTCCATTACCTGCTAATGAGGTGTCTTCTTCTGTTCTTGTTGGGACCTACTCACACGCTTCTTTGCAAAATGGAAAAGGTGCCATTGGAGGTGGTAAGCCCAGCATCAATGGTGAAAACGAGAAGGGATTATTGACCTTGATATCTTCTGACACTCCTGGTTTTCAGGTGTCTTTTTATTGTTTTATGTAAATTTGTAAAGTATGGTTCATGTGTGTTTTATTTCAATCACCATTGAAGAGAATAATCACTTACCTATGGGGTGTTGGGTGTTATCATCTAATGTATGTGTTATACTCTAGGGGATTTTATTTGATGAAAGTAAAATTTTGGTAATTTTAAATTGATTTTTCTGCACAAGTTATATGAACTGTCTGTTCTCTTCTCTAGGTATGTGATCCCAATGGCCGCTGGTATCTGGCAGACAGTGGGTCTGGGCCAGGAGATCTTTTACTGATTACAGGCCGGGCGCTAAGCCATGCTACTGCAGGTCTACATCCAGCCGCATCATATAGAGCTTCTCCAGATTGTTTTCTGAGTCCGAATAGTGGAGTAAGGTGTCAATATATTTTTATAAATTTGGTCTGAGCGTGCGTTTTGTGAGTAAAACCTTGTATTTGTGATAACTGATAAAATTTCAGAGGACCTTATATGAGTACTCTTTGACTGTAGGACTTCACTTGCATATAGACTCATGCCACAGGGCAATGCTATACTAGATTGTTCTCCAATTGCAGCAGCGGGTCATGTTATTCCTCAAAGCTATGTTCCAATATCTGTAAGCCAGTTTATGGACGACCTTGCTGCTGAAGAACTGATAGGCAGCCAATGTGCTAATGATGATGTAAGCTATCTCTCCCAATGTTCTCTTTGAGTACGTGCTATGGAAGTCGCTCAAACCAAATGTGACTAAATAATTAAAAGAAGATCCTAATCTATAATAAATGTAACTGCTAAGAGGCACGTTTGAAAATATGAGCATTGTCATCTTAGATTCTTCCAAACCCAAATAGTCCAAAGATCTTGGCATACTTATTACGAAATGTAACGTTTCTGCTGCAAAACACTGCAGGAATTCCTCTCCGACCAGATTCACCATATATATATATTGTAGTTGTTGTTGCTGCTGTTTATACAAACCGTGATTCTTTTTAATATGAAGTATCCTATTGGTAAGTGGGGCAAAATACAACTGACAGAAAATTAGTCACAAATTGTTTGCGCGGCCTTTTATGCTGTAATTTGGCTTCTACTTTCTTCTGCCTCATCAAAGACTCAACTACCATTTTAAAGTAACTAACAAACTTTGCGTTTTAACTTTCATGTTGAGACACAATGTGGACTATGGAGGATGAGTGCATGAGCCAGTTGAAATGACCATATTTGATTCCTAATGCGCTACCATGAGACTACTACTGAATTTAAGTTCTTCCGGCTGGATGATATATACAAACTAATACTACTTTTAATCTAGCATCCGTTGTCCTATAATAAGTTTCCCGTAATTAGCAAAAGTATAAGTATGTAAGCATTTGGATGAATTGATTAGTCATTTGAGACAAGCTATTCAGAAGAAGATTATATAATGGTTCTTTTAATGATTAGTGGTCATTATAATGTTCTTTTGTTGCATTTGATGCAGCGACTTTTCTTCTAAAGCTTTCAATATAATTTTCTTTTAAGAGAATATTTTTATTCAATGTTCGGGGAAACTTATGCACTTTCGTTCTCACAGGTTGCCCAAAGCAATGTGAATAAGGACCCATCATTAAGAAGTGTTCTATCAGATCCTTTATCGTAAGTGTAGTTTAATTCACATGTCGGAATATTGGTTTGGGTTTTCTAGATACTTGGTTTGTCCAATTTCACATAACAAATTTAGCCACAAATCTTTTGAAGTCCAAATGCAATATGTGCATTTTTTAAAATTAATTTCTATTTACATGTGGGTATTTTATTTGAGATGTAGCTGACCCAACTTAGTGAGATAAGGCTTTGTTGTTGTTGTATGCGGCCATTTTCTTTTTAACTCGCCTATTGGCTTGGGTTGTACCTTCTCATTTTTCAAGGAAAAATATAACCTTCATAGTCAGATTCACTTTTATTCTAATATATATTCTCTTTCCTTTTTCATCCAATTTACTAGTGGCTCATTCTTGGAAGATGCAATGCTTGTCTCATGTGGACATTCTTTTGGTGGTCTCACACTGAGAAGAGTCATTGAAACAGTAAGTACGACTCTATCTTATTCAGTTTTCTAAGCATACTCAATTTGCATCTATGCATTTTGAAATGAGGGCCAACAGCTGATGAAAGTGGCAATTGTGCGTTTGAACTACAGTTGGACAATGTATGACTTAACTAACTAGTGTTCCAAGATCGAACTTCTATTGCAGTCTGGGTGCTGCTGGAAGATTAGTAGTTACAACAGAATAGGAAGTTTGATAGTTAGGTTCAGGATTATATGCATGCTAAGGGTAGGGAATATATTAAATTATTCTTTAATGTATAGAATAAATCTTTCTTATGGGGAAGGGGAGTCATGGTACGAAGGTTGGAGTTACTGCTGAGGTCAGAAATTCAAGCCACGGGCCTCTTGCAGATGCAAGGTAATGTTGCTTACTGTAAATCCACCATCCGGCTCCTCCCTGAATCATGCCACGATAGGTGTTTTTTATTGCACTAGCATGCCCTTTAATACTTAAATTTGGGGAATGATAGATTGGGTTAAAATTAGATTTGACGGGCTATGTACAATATAGTGAACAGGTTATGATTTTGATGTACTGAAGGTTCAATAGTTAGATTTGAAAATGTACGAAACCTTGCCGAGCTGTGGAGATGAAGCCCAATAGAACTCTAGAATCCTTCACACCGTCTATTAACGTTTATTTTGTCTTTAGTGAATGCTGGTGGGTCTCTACAAAATGAAGTAGATTGGGCTTGTTTTTATGTGATTTTAAGTAGGTTATAATAAGGGACTTGTCCAACAATTTGGAAGTACTGATCCAATCTTAAAAATTGGACCCCTAATAAAAGAGCAATTCTTGTAAATAACATAAAAAAGCTATGTTCTAATCAATAGCAAACTTCAAGCTAGAAGAAATTGTTAGTAGACCTCCTATTAAAAAGGTGTATGTGAGACATAAGTCCAAAGGCCCAAGCAATTAGGCCCATTTTAGGTGGTTAGTTGTGTTTAAATAGAATAAGAGTGGCATTTTACTGTCACTGGTTTTTGTTAATTTGGGTGTGGTTTGGGAGATTCTAGGCTCTCTAAGTCCTAGAGGTGTTTAAGAGAGACTATTAGCAAATATTACTTTTGTTACTAATGCTGTCTTTTGTATTCCAAAGTCTGCAACTGTTCTTGAACTATCAAAGCAGTAGTTATATAGTGATAATAAAAGATTGGTCAGTTACACTTTCTATTAGTTGTAGTTTCTACTATAAATTGGTTATAGAAATTGTTTCTAATAGAAGATATGATAATAACAAAATATGTAGATAAATGAAATTTTTATATATAGAAATTGTTTAATAAATAGTATTTATAGCCTTAAATATTTATAGTTATATATACATAAATATAGACATGTTTATTGATAATATTGAAATAGAGGCCATCCTGCTCTACTATTATTCGGATTTTGAGGTCTGCTGCTCTATGCAGCTATTCGAGATTAACAACATAGGCTAAGAGTATTTAAGCTTGTATTCTCTTTCTCTTTTTCATTCATGCATCTGTATTGATATTTTGATTTTACTTGTGTTGTGTCATTTCTATTCCCATCACCATCTATTTGTAGTTATACTGTTACATGGGAAGAGACGAGAATCATAATTATAATTGTTGTTTCTGTCGCAGTCAAGATGCACTCTCTGCAATGTTGATATTGAGACTGGTTCTCTGATCCCTAATCTCGGTATTTACTGTTTCTTTGTAGTTTTATTATGTTTCAGTTCCACTATCTAACCACAAATTTCTCAGATAATGTAGGTCTTTATCTGGTCTTGTTATTATCTTTCTGTCGTTGATGCATTTGGTTCCTTGTTACTTTTCTTACAATTATTTGTGTGACATAATGTGGTTTCAAATTTACTTCACAGCTCTTAGAGCTGCAGCTGCTGCTGTCAAGCATGAGGATGATCGAAGGCTATTTCGCAATGCCGCTCTTCGAAAGCGTCGGAAAGAAATGGGTGAACCAATGGATCCAATCAGAAGAATGAACAGGGTATAAAACACAAGTAGCCTCTGATTTTGTTGAGACTGACTTTTGCTGAAGTAGCAAATCAGTAAACATTAATTAATTAATTAATTAATTAATTAATTAATCAGCATACTCTTTCTGACTGAACAAAATGATAGACTGTAAGAATTTAGTTTCGAGTAGACAAATTTATGTATATTAGCACTTATGTTTCAGGAAAATGGAGATTTTACTTCTGCTGATGGACTCCAGCGGGGAGTACAATATCCATTTTCAGTAAATGAGAAAGTTATTATTAAGGTAAACACGGTCTGTTTTACTTTTCAACTTTTTGCCTACTGCTGAATCAGATGGACCAGGGAATTATAAACCACCAATTTCCACAGGGTAACAGGAGAACCCCTGAAAAATTTGTTGGGAAAGAAGCTGTAATCACATCTCAGTGTCTCAATGGCTGGTGAGTTATGAAGAATATTTTGTTAATTTGAGTTTAAACTTTCGATATGCTAATGGCGGAAGGCAAAAATCCGCCGTATAAACACACCATTGTGACCTATGGTGCACACTAGTGCTGTCCATGGCGAACATCCCTTCACAAATTTTCGATGGTGGTTGTAAAAAGATTCTGCTACGCCATTCTGCATGACCACCATTTAGCATCACACTAATTATGAAATAAGTTAATTTTATATAAATATCAAAAGATAGTTTCTTGCCCATGATTAGCCTGCATCCATTATGCCTTATAGATGTGTAAGGGGATGTTAAGACTTAAGAACCTTGTATGTTTATTAGAAACAGGCAAAATGTCCACTGATATTCAAATCCGAGGGTCTCCACCTCTCTACCCTGATGAAGCCCTAATTCTTTATCAAATGTGTAGTTGATGCTCCCATCTCTTCCCACATCTATATGCGTAATAAAACTGTCCTAAATATAGGTCGTGGCTAGGGGTGGAAATAGGCTAGGCTAGGCTTTAGAAGGCCTGAGCCTGACCTAGGATAAACTTACAAGGTTTGAGCTTGGCTTATGGCCTACTATAGGCTCTTTTCTTTGGTTTGGCCTGACCTGGCCTGAAAGCCTATTTAAAAGCCTGTTTCTTATTAAAGTTTTCAATTAATCCATATTACTTAAGAAGTCTTATACGTTGGTCTATATATGCATATATAGGCCGACCTATTTAGCATTTTTTCTAATATATATGCATATGTAGGCCAGCCTATTTAGCATTTTTTCTAATATATATGCATATATAGGTCAGTTTATTTAGACTATTTTTAATATATATGAAAATATAGGTCGGCCTATAAGGCTTCATAAGCTTTTTTAATAGCCTAAGCCTAACCTATTTAATTAAATAGACTTTTAAAAAAGCTAATAGGTCTTCCCTGACCTGACCTTAAATAGGCTAGACTATAGGCAGACCTAACCTATTCCCATCCTTGACTCGACTTGTACGCCTTTTCTACGAGTATTTTATTAGCTTTTGCCATGTTTTTTCTCTAAGGTTTGGATGGGTTATTTTTTGTGTGCATTGCATGGTAGTTGCACTCAAGTATGCACTCTCAGACCCCTTAAAGCCATGTGCAGTTAGTAACAATACCAAACCAAACACTCAACGGTCTTGAGTTAAGTCTTGCCTAACCTTGGAAATCTTAATGCCGTCATGCTTTTCAAATCCTCCTAGCAATCACCCCACTGCAATTATTTTTGCTAAGAATGACACGCAGCAATTCCACTTGGAAGTCTATGGATTACTCCTACAGCACATCCATGTACAGTCCTCGAGGCTCTAGGCTGACAGTAGGAGCAACTTATAATTTAATATGAGCCCGAATGACGCATTTAACAGGTTTTTGTCAATAACGATGCATGGAAGATTAATAAATGTCTACAAAATGGTCACGCAGGAAAAAGACCATATGAAAATAATGAAGCACCACAAAATTGAATTACCTCGGATGTTTGTTCCCATAAGAAATCACAGTCATGGATCATGGTAATAGAACTATGCACAAAGTCTTCTATTGTGACTTGAGTTGCTACCCCTTGAGCACCTGTACTGCCCCAAACATCAAAGTGCATTTTCCAGCTTAAATGAAATACTACTTCTGAAATTGCATTGTATATTCAAAATAGCCTAATAAGACATAATCTCTTCTGTATAGTTGGCCAGTGTCCTTCCTATTAGGTCATTTTGTATGGGATTTAATGTTGGGTGGTAAAGAGCCAACAAGGTAATATACTAGACAAGGTAGGGTATGTTTATTTAAGAGAAAGTTGGGGCAGCTCCTGCTATAAAAAACGTAGATTTTTGTCTTAGTTCCCAGGGAATTTGGTTGTGTTTGGAGAAGATCTGTAGTAGCATTATAAAGAAGGTTGGCCAAATCAAGAATAGTTTGATAGTTAGAGGTAATGGCAGTCCAAGAAAAATTGAAGGTTACACTCAAACTATCAAGAAAGACTCCGAAAATAGATGGACCATAGGAAATTAAATCCCCGTGTTATCCAAGTAACTCTCTCCTATGATTTGGTCTTTGTTGTTGCCTTGCCATACCTCCCTAACAGTTAATTATGTCAACTAAGTAACTAACTAATTGTGTAACTGGCTAAATTACCTGAGAGGGGATATAGAGATTGTTTATATGCTTGGTATTACTATATCTCATGCTGTAATGATCTTGAGATTGGATATAATATTATGATGGAATTTGATCCATGTAGCTGGCTCCATTTAGGGTGTGTTTGGTTCGGGGTAGATGGGGGGAGGGGAGGGGAGGGGAAGGGAAATTTTTAATTAAATATGTTTGGTTCAAATCTTAGGAGGGGAGGGGAGGGGAGCAAAATTCCTCCAAAACACACTTTTTGGTTTCCTCCGAATTGGGGGGATTTGGAGGGGAGGGAATATGAGTTTTGATATTTAAAAATTATTATATTTACTAAAATATCTTCGGTTTAATTTCAGTATTTCAAAACTATTCGTTTTCTTTCGTGTTACTGTTTTTTCTCGATTGTTTCCATCAACTTATTATAATTGTGTTCCACATTCAAATTATTTTATAATTTCTATACTTAATATAAATCATAATCATTGTCTTTTTTTTATAAAAAAAAATTATGTTTAGTTATGTTCGTTTTTTTCTTTTGATTTTGTTAGGTATTCTATCATATTCTTTTTAATATCAAATTGTATACCATTCATTTTATTTATTTTTGCTTATTCATTTTATTAAATATTTTGAACCATTAATATTTAATAATAAGTTATTTTATATATTTGTTTTGTTATATGATTCATCACAATTTAAACGATGTTATTGGTATATAGTTTAATTTATGTTGGAAAGTTATAAGTCGAATCAATTGTACTCAATTTTTTAATTTTATGTGACAAATAAATATTTTTTTAATCACTCAATATTAGAAATTTTATTACCAACAAAAATACGCATGAATTTTTTACATTTTAATATCATATGACTTATATAAGATCATAAGGATAAAATTGTAAATTATTAATAAAACCCCTCACCTCCCATTTTGAACCAAACACATTTTTAATTAAAATCTCTTCCTTCCCCTTCCCTCCTCTCTTTTGAACTAAATACTTATCTGATTAAAAAAATCCTTCACCTCCCCTTCCCTCCTCTCTTTTGAACTAAATACTTATCTGATTAAAAAAATCCTTCACCTCCACTCCCCTTCCCTTCATTAAAATTCCTCCCCTCCCCCTCATTTGAACCAAATAGACCCTTAAGGGAATAAAACTTTGTTGTTGTATGATGTAATGAGTGCCAGCGAAAACTATAATGACAATAGAAGTGAATGACAATAGAAGTGAGTAATTTACTTATGGAACTATGTTCCTCTTTGGTTGACTTAATTATTTTTTTAAAATTCGTATCAAAGCAAGCAAACCCCGGCATAAACAACTCTATTTTCAACTTTTCTGAATAATTTTAATTTGTCTTCAACTAGTCAGTGACTCTAAGTGCTGTATAGTTTTAACAACACTTTATTTTGTAAGATGGTATCAGAGTTTCATTTAAGATCCATTTGGCCACCCACCATTTAGTTCCACGCTCCAGATGCAAATCTTGGGCGTGAGTGGGGGTTTTAAGAGTCTTACATCGGACAATCTATGACTTGAACATGTGTTTATTAGTTAGAACAATTCTCACTCTACTAGATGGTTTTGTAGGATTGAGTTTGCCCCAACCACACATTCTTAAAAATTGTTGATAATGCTTTTTTATTCAACATATCCTATGTGGTTTTATTTTCAAACTTTATCTAAGTCTGCTTCTTTGGAATACTATATAATCTCATTCAATGTCTTTTGTACAGGTATTTGCTCAAGATTATTGGATCTGGAGAGAATGTCCGCCTGCAGTATCGTTCTCTCAGGAAGCTCTTGAACGCACCAACTATGGAGGATCAGAGTCAGTTGCAGCTAGTTCAAAATAGCAGCTCTTAAAATAGATTCAATTCAGGTTTTCCTTTTCTCTATTTTAGACGAGAGAAAAGAAAACTTTTGTAGCGTTGATCCTAAAAACAATTCTATATAGAATTAAGTTTACCGATGAGGCTCCTTATAGCATATGTGATAGAGGTTTACATAAGAGGTGATTGTGCTGTTGCTAATGTTAGGTCGGCTTATATTTATTGTAAAGAATGCAAACAAAGATGAATCATATAACATGTATAACATGTAAATTATATACCTTGCGATTTTAACCACTATGGAGTTTTCTTTGTAGAATGTGTTGCAAATTTATGACGAAAGCGATTGAATTTGCTTGGCATAGTCCTTGAGCACCTTATAATGATACTCACATAGGATAACACAACCATTAATATCCTAGAAATTTAATGTGGATGGATGCTTTTCTTATATGGACTAAAGTTCACATCAATATTGTAAACTAATAAGCACAAAGGACAGGAAGAAGAAAAAACACATTTGACTTAAAATGATGCTAACAGAAACATTAGATTCTATAGATTTTGTTACTATCCAAGTATAATTGTATAATAAATCCCCAAGTTCACAAAAAAAGGCGGTCCTGCTAGCTACAGACTCCACCTTTGAGATGAATTATAAGTTCTTTCAGTTGAATCTATTTGTAGATCCACTCGTTTGCTCTTGCACCAGACGCGTCCATATCGATAAAGATGCTTACAGCCTGCATTGAATAACAACAAATCTTGAAGTTAAATTTGGATTGTAGTCTAAATTGAAATTGAACTACAGATGAGACTTCAAAGTTCTAGACAGCATCTAGATGTGTGTACATATGACAGATGAGCATAATTTTACCTTCCCTATCCGAGGCCGTTCTTTCGACTTTGCTAGGCTGTTCCGAATATGTGAGACGGCTCCCCAGCATTTTAATGAGTTTGCAACATCATCAAGCCTCAAAATATACTCTTCTTCAGTCAGTGGGAATGATCTCTAACAGTAAAAAGATATACTCTTCTTCAGTCAGTGGGAATGATCTCTAACAGTAAAAAATGCAGACAACATACTAAAATAATATCACATAGATAATCTTAATAGACAATAGTATTATACAAAAAATTCCATGGTTTTTATCTTGATTTCTGAAATTTACATTTCAATGCAGAGCAATATATACTTAGTTTACATTTCAATGCAGAGCAATATATACTTAGTTTACATTTCAATGCAGAGCAATATATACTTAGTTTACATTTCATATCTATAGAAAATACAAGATGTTGAACAGGTGTTTCCTTACCTGCTCCATGTACTTCCACATGACATTCATAGCAAGGAGATTTCTTCCCATGAATTCCTAGAATAAATTGTGTAGCAGCAAAATAAGAAAAAAGACAACATAAAAGAGAACACAGACAATACAATAGAGATTCCCATGTCAGGTCCTAGGAATATATAAGAACAAACTTTACCAATAGAACTACCCTCATCATATCTAAGAAAATTCATGACATGAATCTCTCAACTCATGTTATTCCACTTGTAAGAAACTAACCTTCTTAATCAACTGGACATCATAAGATTTCCCATATTTTTTCCTGATAAGAGTAGCAAGGTCGAATCCACTAAACCTGGAATCATCTGTGCCGACTATTTTCTCGAGACTTTCTCTGAGCATCTCACTATTCACCCCTCTAACTTCATCATTATTCTGAGATTTGTTCTTCTCACTCTCATCTGAATCATATGGATCCATACTGTCACTCACTGTACTCGAAAAAACCGGTCTACATTTTCTGGCACTACGGCGACAATTATGAGAAACATTAGGGAAGTCCAATCCTTTAGAAGGAGAATGATATCCTGAAAATGGAGCCTTATTAATAATACTACTTCCTTTGTCAAGATGATCCTGAATTCTCAGTGGCCAACCACACTGGTTGGTGGACATAATATTCATTGTGTCCTGCAACCAAAAAAACCAGACACAGTTATTATAATTCCTCAAATTGATTAACGAATTAACAATCATTGAGTTAACTAACTATTCTGCTCTAGGCATCTTATGATTTTCCCTAATTCAACGGTAAATAATCAATAATTGTAACCTTCTTAAAAAACTATATGAAACATGTTTTATGACAAGTAAACTCAACAAGACAGAGATGTTTACTTTAGTTATTACCTGTTAAAGACAGAAGCAGAGACAGATTTAGTTGGTATTTTTTTTTCTTCTAAGAATATTATTATTTTCTGAGTGAAGGCTTCAATATTGGAAGTGGAAGAGATTAATAAAATAAGTTCCAGTTTGATATAAATATGATGATGAAAAGAAGATTGAGATAGAGTAGAAAAGAAAAAGATAATAAGAAGCAAGAAGTGGAATAATTGTGGATGTTAAGAAAGATTGTTAGTTGTGGCGTTAAGGCAATGATAACCTCAAGTTCTCGTGTGTTTGTTGTCCCGTAAGCAATGCCAACCACAAGCTGCCATGCTCTAAACACTTGTTAGACACACCCCACCTCTTGTTTTTTAAATAAAAAACAACTAGTTTTTTTATAATCCGATTTACTTAAAAAGATTATGCTACGAGTTATATAAAAAACCTTTTATATTTATAATAAATATGAATAGTTTTATTATTATTATTATATTTATTTTATATTTTAAATTAAAAAATAAAAATAAAGGTTAATTATTTTAAAAATTATGAAAATAAATTGAAAATAATTTTATGAATAATGTGATAAGTTATTTTCATAAGCTCTTTTAAACAAATATTATCACAAAATTTATACTTTTAAGTAAATCGGAACAAGTCAATGCAAACAAATATTTTGACTCATTGGTCTTTTAATTTGTTAGTATATTTAAATATTAGTAGAATTACTTATTTACAAATGTTCAAATAAAATAGACTTTAAGTAGGTTAATAGGTCAATCAAACTCTTAAAAGGTCAAATTCGAACTTAAAAATAAGTCTACGATAGACTACAAATCAGACTTAGACTTTGAATATTTTAGTCTATCAGGTTTATTGAAAAATAAGTGTGAGTTGTGTTGAGAAACAAGTGTGAGTTCTAAGTTTCACATTACTTAGAAAAGTAGAGGTTGAACACTTTATAGATGAGAGGATCCATACAACTATCACCTTAAGGTTTTGAATGAATATGTGATTTCTCGCTTATTTGTTTGGGTGAAACTTTGACCTTTGTTTGATCATATATTAATTAATCAACAATTAGTAATAATAAATAATGAGATTTTTTATCCCACCCAATCTGGTGGAATAATACCATATAAAAATTTAAAAATGCTCTTTAAAATTTAAAGAAACATCTCTGAATGCATTTATGCACACAATATCATTCATTTTTTTGCAAGTACATTCTAATTTTATGATTAAATTTAATTTAGAAATATATTTTTGAAATATCTCCAAAAATGTATTTTCGAACCTAAAAAAATTGTTAGTATATTGATTATTAAACTCATTATGAAGTTATTGATGATGTTGGGAATCAGAAACATGATTACTTCTCGTTCTAATTAAACTCATTGTTAGGTTATTGTATGGATTGATTCCTTATGTTTTACATCTCTTTTCCATTTGAGTTTATAATATTCATTTTGGATAAATGATTTTCTATAAGATTTATGATTTATTTTCAGGTGGGTACATGAGCTGGAAAAGTCAAAACCTATAGTTTTGACAGGTGATCTGAATTATGCTTATTAGTTAGAGAACCATTTTACCTCACAGTATCTTGATTATCCATTAGCAGTGGGTTAACTTTGATAGGATCTTTTCTCTAAAAACATGGCAATTCAACTATACATGATTACTTATTTCATGAAAACATGGGGTGTGAGTTAAATATTAGTTGGCCGATTACCACAATAAATGGAAGGCATTTTGCAAAGTTAACTTGCTGGTGGTGAAACTGTTGTAGAAATTGATTCACCGGTGAAACTTAATCACTTTAACTTGTAATAGTAATTATTGAACATACAAAATAATAAATTATTAAACAAATCTGAGACGTGTATGAACATTGTTTTTAAGAATTTACCCGTCTCACAAGCACAAATCTTTCAAAATTCAATAAGTTTTTTCTATATTCACATTATGAATCCGAGGCATCAGAATAACAGAAGATGAAACCAAAAATAACTGAAGATGAAACCAAAAAAGAACTACGATGAATAAAGAAATATGAGAGAATGAGAGTTTTCAAGTTATAAATTAGGGGAATTATATAAGTGAGAGAAAGTGAGTAAAGATTTTGACTAAGTCAATCAAACAACTTTGTTAGACCAAGTCAAATGATAAATAATAATAATAATAATAATAATAATATTCTTATAAAATATGTTATCACATTATATATATATATATATATATATATTTACAAAACCCCTAACATATTTCAAAAGTTCAAAAATAATAGAATTTTTTTGAGTTAATACAATGTGATGCATCGAACTGGTGTATCAAGCTATATAAACTAACTTTAGAATAATAGAACTTAAAACACATTGAAATTGATGTAACAAGTTGTATAAAGCAAAGACACTTGACTTATGTTAGGGGTCTAACACACACATCACACCTTGAAATTCTGTTTTTGAGGGGACAGATGTTGGACACGATATTGAGACAATCGGACCAACTTGTTAAACTAGTATGACATCAATATAAAAACAACAATGACATAATGCAAACATTAACAAAATAACACAACAAAATTGATTACACGGTTAGGTACAAACAACACCTACGTATGGAGGACACTGTACCCAAGAAAAGAAATTCACTACTTTTAATTAGTAAAATGAGTCTTATAGGAATATCAATCCCATGATGTTCAACGCCTTTTTCTAATCCTAATGAGTTTCTATTTAAGTCTCCCTCTAAATACGAGAACCCGTCTCATTTTCTCTCAATCACTAATCTCAATTGATCAACTTCAACAAGAACTCCATTGAATGTTGAATTTATAATTCAATTAATACAAACCAACAACTATGCCAAGCTACTAAAATATAAAATGGTGTACACAAACAAGAAATACTTTGTTCTCAAGCTTATATCATTAGTATCTTGGAACGAAGTTTTAAAACTCAACTAACAAACTAAACTTTATGTTTTAAGATATGAATGGAGGCGCTAGAGTGGTGCACAAAAGAAACACAAACAAAGACTCAAAAGATAAACTCTAACACAAGAAATCTTCAAAACATTCACACCTCAAACGTGAGGTTTGAGTCTCCTCAAATAGAAATTCAATTCTGGATTTTTTTCAATGGGCACTAACAGCTTTTGATCTCGTCTAGAATTAAAAGAGATTTGTGATTTATTTTTTCACAAAAATCTCCAAAAAAAATGATTTGTTATGATTCAAGTTAAAATTTAAATATCCATTTAAATTGATTTGATCTTCAAACAACTGTCAAACAAATCACACAAACATTACTAAATAATCTGCAATAAATCTGATTGAATCTCAATATTTGTTTTTTTTTGCATCTAACAACATTTACCATGGCCTGCTGACAAGGGCTAGATGTTGCATTGCATACATGCTGGAACGTCGTGTTTCACATATTGCACCAACACATCCAAATTAACTATCTTCATGAATTATAAATCTTATTAGTAGAGTGAATCACAGATTAAGTAATTCTGAACCAAAACTGCAATAACATATGTTTGCAGCACACATGTTGGAACATTGTGTTCCACACGTGTCTCTTCTGCACCAGAAAAAACTTGAACATACTCCATGTTGTTTTTCATAATGTAGTCAATCTAAAAGGAACAACAATTCCCCCTTTGGCAAATTTTAGCAAAAACACTCTTCAAGTAGAAATGCAACTAAATATACAAGGAATCACATACTCAGAACAAACATCAGTAGTAACAGAAGTACAAATCAATCACAACATACATCAATATCAACATAAAACACATCAGTAGCACAAGTTAGGAATCATGAGGTTACCACACACAATCAATGATCTTTAACAGTCAGTCATGCATGAACACACAATTAGTAGTCAAGTCAGAATCAATAGATCCTACTAACACACAAATAAGCTCACACAATGGTCAGATGCTCCAGCATGTGAGCATACACCAGGTTATAACGATTAGTACCAAACAAACCAGTTGGTACACAATACACTAGCCAACATCATATCATCAATACTCATACACCACAAAGTCAGTAGACAACAATTTTGAACACACCAGTCTTACACACCATTACTCCCCCTTTTACCATAATTTGGAAAAGCTTCATTAGCACAGTTAACAACAACTTGGTTAGTATTAGCCATGAGCATAAAAAATGAACTTGTCAGATAAAGCACATACAAAATCAGAAGTAGAAACTATCAACAACAACCACAAGCACATATGTTGAACATAAACCCAGAATATAAGAATTGAAGCTAGAACATCAGAACATAAAGTTAGAATATCTCCTAATGAAACAAAATTAACCGAGTTTTCATCATTATCTTAGTAGGTTTCTTCTTCAATGAAAATACAATCTTCCAAATATTCTTAAGTAATCCAATTCTTTCTTTCAAAGCAACTACAACAAAAACTTGGACTTGAACAAACCTTGAACTTGAACAAACTTGAAACAAATCTGAAGTGCATAAGAATCCAACCACTATAGCACGCACACCAAGATGTCACACAACATGTTTCATACATTTTGCTATTCATTTTTCCTATAAGCCAATCAAAGAAACAACATTCCTCTTTGGCTATTTTTAGGCAAAACAATGATTAAGCACTTCTTCAACATTACACCACATATAGTGCATAAGAGACAAATATTATCAGAGAAAACATTATCAAATAAGTGTAATATGCCCTTTTTATTTTTCTCCCCCTCTTGGTCTAAAAAGAGACGAATAACAAGGACCACCATCAATCAAACAACC